TAGTGAGAAATTGGCAACTTTGGGCTTGACATAAGGAAAAACTTCCCACCATGAGAGCTGTGCAAAAATAAACGTTACCCTAGGAGGTAATGAAGTCCTCGTCACTAGAGGTATTCAAGCAAAGGCAGGATGATCACTTGTCATGTGTGTTCTAGAGGGAACTCTTCTTCAGGTATAGGTTGGACTAAATGGCCATTGAGGTCCCTTCCAAAGTTGGAATTGTGTGATTCTAAGAAAACTCATCAAGCCTTTATGTTCATGGACAAAAAAAGAAAGAAAGAAAGAAAGAAAGAAAGAAAGAAAGAAAGAAAGAAAGAAAGAAAGAAAGAAAGAAAGAAGAAAGAAAGAAAGAAATCTTCCCTAGGCAGTGATCTGATGTCTAGATGAAGAAACAAAATAGATTTTTTAAAATTGTCAGATGTTTGACTTTCCAACAGATGAGATAAAATATGAGCTTTTTAAGGACAAATACTGTTGTATTTTTGTCTTTATATACCCAGGGTGAAATGTAGTGCCTTGCACATAAGTATTTAATAAATGTGGTTTGAATTCCATTGAGAAAAAAGCATTAATTCATCACTCTTCCACAGTACCTTGTACAAAGTAAGAAATCAATATGGCCATATATTCATCCCTCATCTCCCTTCTGAACTCAAGCTGTACATTGGCAATGCCCTCCTATATACTTCCATTGGAATATCAATCCAAAAGGGATACCAAATTTGGATTTAGTATGCTTTCCTCAAAAAACTTTCTTCCTCTAACCTCTACCATTTTGTCTGAGGGTACCACAATCCTTCCAGTCACTCAGGTACACACCTCTGAAGACATCTAAAGTCACCATCTCTCATCATCCATATCCAATGAGTTGTCAAGTCTATTAAATTGTATCTCCATAACATTTATTGAGTTTAGCCACTTCCATTCATTCACACAAATCCTAGACTATTAGAGTAGCTTCCAAACTGGTTTCCTTGCTTCTAGTCTCTTCCTCTCTGATGTGCCTTTATTATTCTCAATACACACGTTTGAGTATATCACTTGTAGTTGTTCAATTGTTTTTCAGTCTTGTTCTACTTTTCCTAACCCCATTTGGGGTTTTCTTGGCAGAGATACTGGAGTGGTTTGCCATTTCCTTCTCCAGCTCTTTTTACAGATGAGAAAATGGAGACAAAGTTAAGTGACTTGCCCAGGGTCACACAGCTAGCAAATGTCTGAGGCTGGATCACTACTAAGCCCCAGAATCTTCAGTGGCTTTCTGTTGCCATACACACACACACACACACACACACACACACATATATATATATGTATGTATATATATAATGTATATGTATATACATATGTATATATATGTATATATATATACACATATATACGTATATATGTATATATATATTATGTGTGTACGTATATATGTGTATATATATATATATACATTTTTTTTTTTCAAATTCTGCAAAGCAGAATTGAAGTAGCTCAAAAGAAACGTGAGATATGCAAATTTAGAGAATCCGCCTCAAATGTTCACAGGGTCTATTTGTGTCTGACCTGTGGTAGAGGATTCTGAGCTCCTGTTGGTCTGATCAGCCACAATGGACACACTGCACCTTGGACTCTAGCATAGGGATATCACTTTGGTCCTCTTTGAGAACAAAGGACAACAGCTAGCCAACCAAAAAATTTCTAAGCCAGATATTTAAAGTCCTTAAAAATCTGGAAGTATCAACAATAACAATAATAACAACCAGTATTTATATGCTTATATTTGTAAGCGTTGAGGTTTGCAAAGTGTTTTACAATATTATCTCATTTTATACTCATAATAGTTAGATGTATTACTATCCTCATTAAACAGATGAGAAAACTGAAGCAGAATGAAGCTAAGTGATTTGTCCAGGGTGACACATAGCTAGGAAGTGTCTAAGGCTAGATCTGAGCTGAGGTCTTCTTGTCTCCAGGTCTCCTGCCTGACGTTGCCGTATGTCGTGTTATTCCATGTTGGTGTTTTGCATTTCATCCAAACAGCTCTCACAGATGGTCTCACTGAACATGACATTTCCCATCTCTTGTATTTGTATAAGTTGCTCTCCATTCCTAGAATGTGCTTCCTTTTCATCTCTTTGCTTGTTTTGAATTCATCTTATATTTCATTTGCATTTCAAATGCATTTCTATTTGCATTTCATCTCCCATTGCCTGTTGTTGTTCAGCCCTGTCCAACTCTTGGTGATCCTCATGGATCATACTCTCCATGGGGTTTCCTTGGCAAAGACACTGGAGTGGTTTACCATTTCCTTCTCCAGTGGATTAAGGCAATTAGAGGTTAAATGACTTGCCCAGGGTAACACAGCTAGTAAATGTCTAAAGCTGGATTTGACCTCTGGTCTTCTTGACTCCAGGCCTAGTGCTCTATTCACTGAACCACCAGCTGCTTCTTAACATTGCTAACCCTTTTCAAAGCTCAACTCAGGTACCATCTCCTAAAGCAGCGTTTCTGAACCCTCCAGGTAATAGGCTCTCCCTCCTAATAATACTTCATATTTACTTATCTGTATATTTACCATATCTTCCCTGGAAGAATGAAAATTCTCTGAAGGCAGGGAATGTTTCATTTTTGTCTTTACGTCTTTCGGACCTAACACACAATACAATGATAATAATTATTGTTAAACTGAATAAATATTAGTAAACAAGTCTATTCAAACCCAAATTACTAAAAGCCTAGGGTGTGTGGATTGAAGTTATTATTAATTTTTGAATTATCCGTTTTCTTCTAACTGCTGTTGTAGAAAATCTTTCTAAACTGTTTCATTATGCTTTTCTTCCTACAAAACCTGACATGAGGGTGTGTCAGGTTTAGACTTCAACAAGCTTGAAGGTCACAAGGGGTGAATTGAAAGGCAGTGAATTGAAAAAGAGAAAGGCTTTCTGATGCAGAAAGTGTTGGAGGCTTAAGTCATGAACAGGTCTTCAAGACATTGAACTTGACCCAGGACTCAGAGCACTTCATTACCTTTGACGCAAGCCACTCAAGAGGAATCTGAAAAGGGTAAGTGAGCTGAGCACCTTAAGTGAAGATGAAGATTGAGAAAAGTCACGTTAGAACTAATGAAAATTGTCAAGTAGAAGATATTGTATCTCTCCCACCTCCTGCCTGGAGGTGATAAGCCTCAGAGTTTGGACTTTAAGAGAGTCAAATAGGAGAAGCATGTGCCAATCCTAGGCTGAGTTGTTATCCTTGCTGAAAAGAACCCCATTCAGAATTTTCCTGCAGACTAATGATAACTGCAGGGTGTCTCAGGATCATCATTTTAAGCATGGAGAACAGTTCAGATTGCTAAGCCATACAGAAACATGGAGGCAGAAAATGTAAAAGTCAGAACATTGAATGCCAGAGCTGGGGGAAGAACCTTAATATGGAGAATGCCAGAGCTGTGAGGGGTCTTAAGACAGAGAATGTCAGAACTAAGAGGGACCTTAGAATCCAGAATCAGAACTAGGAGGGGCTTCTAATACCATTAGTATAACTGTCACTTTTCAAATGGGGAAACTAAGTCTCAGAGATTACTTATCCCATCATTTTAAAAATAGGGATAATGATTTGAACTTGTTTACTTGACTACATTGGAGTGTTGTGAAAGATCAACTAAGATAATGTAAATGAATATACAATGCAAAATAGAAATCACTCTATACAAAGTAAAAAATTATTTTTTTGAGGAAGGGCGAATGGAGATACCTGCTGTTACTAATTTGGAGGAAATGAAGAGAAAAAGCTTTCTGAAGGAGGAATAATCCTGAAGGCTCCACTTCAGAAGAGCCCAGATTTAGATGTCAATTCAAACTGGGGTGGGGGACTCTGACACATGTTTTCTCTAAACCTGTGTTTGATGGTAAATCAGAGCCGTCTCAAGCCAGGAATCTGAGGAGGAGTGTCTGGTTTCTACTAGGCCTCCAGCAAACTCAGGAGGTGCAGGCTCATTCCCTGGGACCAGGCTATGGTAACTGAAGGTGGTGATTCAACTCTGACCCTCCTGGCAGTGCACCAAAGGAACCAGCTCTCCCTGATGTGGGACTGTTTCACATTATCAGCTCATTATTAACATACATCATAGCCAGATCCCTTACACTCTAGAGCTGAGCTAACAGGAAACTCTGGGAGAGGGAAAGGGTTTTGATTTTCATGCAATTCGAGGGGTGGGCATGATAGGGCAAGGGCAGCTGTTAATTAGAACCAGACAGGCAGTCTGGGTTACAGGGTATTTCCCACCTCCTTCAGAGCTTAACAGAACCCCAGCGGTATCCTGTGGAGACTCCAAGATAGTGAAACGATTTTTAGCCAAGTAGATTAGAAAAGCCTGGAGCTAAGGGACCAAGAGACCTGAGTTCTGGTGCTGGTCTTTAAACTAGTTTTGTGACCTTGGGTAAGTCCCTCAATTTCTCTGTGCCTCAGTTTTCTATGAGATGGAGATGATTATATTTGCCCTACTTCTTAAATCACAAGGCTGTTACACAGATAACATAATAGATGTAAAAACACTCTGAAAATGTAACAGAAAGGTATCAGTCATTACTGACAAACCCAAGTGAAATAGGAGTTTGGATTCCTTAGCAGGATCTTGGTACCATCAAACAAATTTTCTGAAAAATTCCTCCATCATTTATTTAGACTGTTACGCAGACAGTGTGGGATATGGTGGAGGGAGGAAGGAAGGAAGCGTAAAGGCCCCCCTCATTGCCACCACTGCTAATGTGCATGGAAACGTTGACCTGCTCTATGTCTTTCCTTTCTTCCCTGTTTTCCTCCTTCCTTTCCTTCCTCTTTCCCTCACTTCCTTCCTTTTCCTTCCCTCCTTTCCTCCCTCCCTCTTCCTTCACTCCTCCCTTTCTTCCTCCCTCCCTCCCTATCTCCTTTCCTTCCTCCTTTCCTTCCTTCCTTCCTTCCTTCCTTCCTTCCTTCCTTCCTTCCTTCCTTCTTTTCTTACTTCCATTGAGTAGGACAAAGTGGCCAAGTGGTTAAGATGAGGGACTGCTAATCCATTGTGCTTTGCACGGGTGGGTTCAAATCCCATCCTTGTCAACTACTTCCTTCCATCTATCTATTTATCCATGTAATCTATAGCTCTATCTGAGAAGACAGAGATAGGAAGCAATGCAACCAATTAGAAGGTTATTGCAATTTTCCAGGCAGGGGGTGATGATGGCCTGAACTGGGTGGTACCTGCGTGAGTGGATAGCAGGATTAACTACAAGAGATGATATGAAGGTAGAATTGAAAACACCTGATAAGTGAATAGATATAAAAAGGCAGGAAAAGGAAGAGCTCATAGTAACTTCAGTCGTAAGCCTATATGACTAGAAGGATGCTGGTATCCACCCCAAAAGCAAGGGAGTTTGGAGGAAAAATGAGTAGAGTGACATTTGGACATACTGCTTTTGAGATGCCTGTGGGGCAGCTAGGGGGCACCATAGTGCACAGAGAGCCAGGCCTGGAGTCAGGAAAACTCATCTTCCTGGGTTCAAATCTGGCCTCAGACACTTACTAGATGTGTGACCCTGAGCAAGTCACTTAGCTCTATTTGCCTCAGTTTCCTCATCTGTAAAATGATTTGGGGGAGGAAATGGCAAATCACTCTAGCGTCTTTGCCAAAAAAAAAAAAAGAAAAACAAAAAAAAACCCAAATGGGATCACGAAGAGTCAGACAAAACTGAAACAACTGGGATAGCAATGTGGGACAAATAGTTTGGGATTTCCATTGGACAGCTGGCAATGGGGGACTGGAAGAGAGGGATCAGAACTGGATCTGTAGATATGGGATTCATTTGCCCAGAGATTGAAGATGACTTTGGTTACAATTTGCTAGAAGATACAGGAGGGGATTGAAGCAAGGGCACAGGTAAAGGGATTAGCTTTGGCAAGAAGAAAGGACATCTGTTCATCAGAGACTGAAATAAAAGAGAGAATGAAGGGGATCCTGAAGAGAGGGTTTGGGGTATGGACTATATTCTCACTAAAGTAGGAGTGAATGTCCTCTGCCTAGAGAGAGGTGGGAAAGGTAGGAACCATAGGTATAGAGCTGGAGGTATTGAGCCTTCAGGATTCTCCAGTCTGACTTAATGGAACTCAGGGAAGTTCAGCGACATTTTGCTGAAAGCCACCTAGGTACCAAGTGGCAGAGCTGACATCTGACCCCATATCTGCCACTTCTATTTCATCCTGGAGGCTTGAGGAGAGAAAAGAAAGTTTGGAACAGTCTCTGTGTGGCATAGAAGAGAGTGAATCAGAGAGCGATTGCCCATTGGAGGTTAGATTGAGACACATCTACAAGGCGGGGTCATGTGGGGATAGGGCAATATATTTAGACTCAGAAAGACTTTGGCTCAAATCTTGCCTCAGCACTCACTAGTTACGAAAACTTGGGCAAGTCTTTAACCCCTCTGTGCCTCAGTTTCCACATCTGTAAAATGCAGATGCAGGCTCAATGCCCTCTAAATCTATGATCTTATCATCTTCCTTTACAGCATCCAGAATATTGATGGAAATCTAATAAATGTCCTAGTAAATATTCACTGAATTGGAAAAATTAGTCCACTCCCTTCACCTTCCCAAAAAAGATACCTAACAGTACTATAGTCAGCATTGATTAATACCTAGGAAAACTAGCTTCTTTTAAGTAATTACACTGCTGGGCGAGGGAAGGAGGGCTAGCAAATGCTAACATTATTTAGACAAGAAGAACACTTGTTTCCATAGCTTATTTTCTCTACCAAGTCAAGGGTCTAATATGTTATAGTGCCTGATTGTCTTGGAAGTATCAGGAAGTAGCTAGGGCACAGGCAGAATGTGAATCTTAAAGTCTCTCAGACTTCAGGAGAAGGAGTGTAGTGAATAAATACGTACTTTTCTTTTTTAAAAAAAGCATTTATTAAGCTCTTACTGTGAGCCAAGCACAAAGGATACAAACACAAAATGAGAGAAGCTTGCATTCTAATAAGGGAGACATATGTAGGAGTGGAGGCCAGGGAGGGGTCTTTTGGTATGGGAGAGGTTCAAGGTTGCTGAGCAAAGCTACAGAGGTATAGATTGGCACACATTTCCTATAGCTATTATAGCATGGATTTGAATATGGTGGTGTTAGCAATGAAGAAAAGGAGAGGAGAGTGAAGAGGGGCAGACAGTCCATGTACAAAGCCAAGGCAGCTGGTGAAAAGATGGCTGGTGAGTGAAATACAGCACAGCTGGTGTTTCATCGATATTACGGAGCAGAGGAGGCACTCACCACCGCAGGGCAAAGGAACCCACCAAGGTGGCATGGATGAGGGCAGGATGGGAATTCTGGCATTAAAAGTTTTAATTTCTCTAAGCATGGTCTCTGGCCTGGCTGGTGGTAAGAGGAATGTGGAGGTGAGGACAGGAGAGTCCTGGGTTCAAATGCCACCTTTGACACAAACTAGCTGTGTGCCCATGAGTAGCTTATGTAACTTTTCTAGACCTCAGCTTCCTCATCTGCATTACAGAGAAAAGAAAACTCTTAGTCCTTACCCAACAAGGCTGTTTTGAGGATCAAATAAGGTAACATGTATCAGGGATCTTGGACACTTTAAATTAGTATATAAATGTCAACTCCAGAAGCAGGCAGCGGGGTGTGCATTGCTGTTTGAGCTGAGTTAGGAAAGAAGTATCTAGAGAGGAGGGCAGGGATGCCAGGGGCTAGAGAACTAGTCTTTAAGCCAGGAAGGCCTGCATTCAAGTCCAATCAATCACACATTCTCACCGTGTGACTCTAGGGGCTCTAACAATTCTCTCGGACTGTAAGTTTCAGAGAAGATGCTAAAATGACATTTCATTGGGTACAAGTTCCCTAGGCCAGTGTTATCAAAGGCCTAGTGTCTGTAGAAGTATTGTACGTAGGCCTGCTAGTTGGTGCAGTATATAGAGCATCAGAGAGTTCAAACCTAGCCTCAGACGCTTCCTAGCTGTGTGATCCTGGGTAAGTCATGTAATCCTGCTTGCCTCAGTTTCCTCAAGTGTAAAATGAACTAGAGAAGGAAATGGCAAACCACTCTAGTACATTTGCCAAGAAAACCCCAAATGGCATCTTGGAGAGTTGGACACAACTGAAAAATGACTTAACAAGAACAACAATAAAATATGGGCCTGGGCTGGACTCACTGTCTCTGCCTGCCATTCCCCTCTCTGGCCATATTTCCATCTCCATTTCCGCAAGAGTTGAACATAGCCACAGAAATCAAGGAAGATATTGCTTTGTTGACACTGAACAGAGCTGTTTTATTATTATCATTATTCTGAGCTGACTCTGAGGGAGGTGAGGATTTGTTTAGGCAGCTGCTGCTGCTTTCCTTCAGGTACCACGTGAAAATAAGTCAGCTCAAAAGTGAAAACAGGATCTTCCATGTTACTGCAAAGAGCAGCATTAAAACCAGAGCAATACTGACAAACCACCAAAAAAAAAAAACCCAAATCAGAAGTGATGGGGCACAGAAATAAATCCTAATACATTTGACTTTGGATAATCATTTCACCTTTTTGGGCCTCTCTCCTTATCCTTAAAATGGGGTGTGTGTGTGTGGGGTGTGTGTGTATGTGTATGTGTGTGTGTGTGTTTTACTATACAATGTCTTAGTTCCTTTTTAGGTATATCTGTATGACCCTAGATGTGATTGTATATAATAATGATGATGATGATGATGATGATGACGTTGATGATAATAATAATAATGCCTGACATTTATAGAATGCTTTAAGTTGCAAAGTGCTTTACAAATGTTATCTCCTTTGATTCTCAGAACAACCCATGAGAGGTCGGTGTAATTATTATCCCCATTTGACAGCTGAGAAAATTGAGGCTGACAAAGCTTAAGTGACTTGTGTAGGGTTATACAGCTAGGAAGTGTGTTAGACTAGATTTGAAGTCAGGTCTTCAGGATTCCAGGTCCAGAACTCTATCCATTTCAAGAGCTGCCTTTATCTCTATCAATGCATCCCCATCCCCTTGCACAATCATCTATGGCTCAGCCTGATTCTTAAGCCGATTAGAACCTCTTCAGTGAGATAGTTAATGAAACAATCTTTCACAGATTTTCTGAGGCCTTTGCATGCTTTAGAACACTGACATAATGCTCAAAGGGGAGTAGCCCCCCATAAAGGACCATATTTCCCCCCACACACCATGTCCAAGGGAAAAAAACAATAACCCGAATTAGGATCATAGATTTAGATATAAACTATACTCATGATCTCATTTCACAGAAGAGGAAACTGAAGCAAACAGAGATGAAGAAACTTGCCCAAAGTCACATAGCTAATAAGTGTCTGAGTCAGAATTTGAACCCAGGTCTTCCTGACTCCATTTCCACTGTCTTTTGTGGGCAGTGTTGAGCACTTTGCAGCCACCACAAACCCAGCCTAATGCTCCATGTATAAGGAGAAGCTCAGGTAGCCCAGTGGAAAGAGCACCAGACTAAATAAAGAAGTGTTTAATTCTCCACTCCTCTCACTTAAAGCTGAATGCCTTTACTCCTCTAGGCTTCAGTCCTTTCATTTACAAACCTCTGAGGGTATTTGCCAGGTCTGTGTGTCTTCCAGGCCCACTCATGTGTCTTGGGCCAATTCAACCACTCTCTCTCCATCTGTGGGAGATGTAGGGTGGTGATTCCCACCATTGGTTTTCCAAAGCTCCCTACAATAGGTCCCACTTACTTCGAAGACCTGTCAATTTATGAATCCTGGAAGTTAAGAGCTGGAAGAGAGCCGAGAAAGCATCTTGTCCAGACCCTCCTTTAGTAGAGTACACCGAGATTCCAGAGGTCACACAGCAAAGTAGTCACAGAGCCAGGCTTCCCAACTCTTAACTCTCTTTAGAGACATTGCTTGGGATAATAATATCTTCTCTGCCTATGTTAAGAGGCCACTGTGAGGATCAAATGAGATAATGGATGTGAATGGACTTGGTTAAGCTTAAGGAGTCATTACTATTCTTAAATCAGCTATTCAAGGGATAGCTGTTGACTTCAATAGGCCAGCTGCTTTGCATTAACTTGGGCCTTTGCAAGAAGAGA